AGATGTGTATCCTAGGCCTAGCTAGGGCAGGGGCCTAGCCTACTTACTTCCTTTCAATACCAACAAAGGCCAAATACAATTAATGAATTATAAACACGAACAAATACATTCGCTGGATCTTGATACCGTTTCATCAACATTGGCTTTATAGAAAGTAAAATACTCACCACTAAACGTGTATTTATTTTTCCCCTAACCACAATATTAACTGACCACCTTGCTACTAGGCCCAGCCAGGAAGGAACGATACCAACGTTTTTGTTCGAGAACGAGGGAAACACACGCACCCTATCAACAGATATCGCCCTCTATCGTTCAGTTCAGATTTGTGCATTGTTAAAAAAAAAAAAAAAAAGAGAAAAATGGTTGACAAAACAATTCTTTGTTAATTTAAAATACGGTAATGGATGAACTTAATAGTCGAGAATTTGAAATAGGCTTAAAGTCTGAGAATCAATGAGACGTGCGCATACTCACTGAAATGTTGTTCTTTATAGCAGCCATTATTACAAAGGGAGGTGTATAATATGATCATGTGTCCACATGGGTTATTTCACTTTTTGGTACACTGCCTATGTGAGGACTAGCGTGACACAGTAACATTGATATGCATTGAAATTTTAAAAATTTACTGACAAAACGTAGGAACGGGCCCCCGTGCACCCCCACCCCCACTTCCTAGTAAATCCACGCAGGTACAGTATAAGGTAATTGTTTATTTCTGATTAATGACTGTTTATATGCATCTTTAATTTATTTTTATACCATTATAGGCCTGCCAATATTTTCTAAAAGATGTTTGTAGTTTTGTATTTACTTTACTGTTCTGGGTACAAGATAGGCCGGATATAGCAATTCGTTTTGCAAAGGTGCCAGAAAATAGATTCGAAATCCAAACGAATATATCGTCTTATATATTTATGTCTTATATTTGTATGTGCCAATTTTGACAGATTTGAAAAGAAGTATTTGGCACTGATTACTTTTAGCATGTTTACTAAAATATGCTTCTTATGAAAACAGTATTTTCCACGTCATCTTGGCTCTTCATCTAAACTCATCCATATGTATTTAATTCATAAACAAGTATTTATTGATAAACTAAGGAACACATATATTTGCAAAAATTAATATTTATTCACAAACGCTTTTGGTCATGCCTTACGGTATCTTCTGTAACGTATCACTTAAAGACGCTAATTTATTAACAGTTAATACATAGATATTATATACAAAAAGCGCATAATGTATATAAAACAATATATATAATTAAAATTATATAAATAATATAAAGAATTTCTATAGCGCCTTTCCAAAAAAATGATCAAAGCGCTTTACAATCTTTTTATATATAGT